TGAAACTCGTCCCCAATACCAGTATTACAAAGTGGGCATATTCTGTCCTGTCTTTGAATTCCCACCCACCTTCCTGTTTCTACTGGAAGCTTAATATTTGAAGTTCTAAATTTGCAGATAGTTTTCCTATCTTTTGCGTTTAATCTTATCACATAGTCTTCTTAACCAAAGCGATATTTAAATGTAGAGTACAATCGTCCTCTGGATGAGGTGTCAATTTTATTAAACCAGGATTGAATAAACTGATCGTGTAAATTATGTATAATTGCAGCTTTTAAATAAGCAATATCGGGCAGACAGGTGACCACGAGTGATTTATCATACCAGTTAAAAAATATAAATTTCAAAAATTTCAAAGACATTAAAGCACCCTCCTTAGCATCAATTTTACCAGGTGCATAATAATCAATGTTAGCATAAAAGCCTGGCATGTTTATCCTGTTCATAAGGTGTTGCCCATGTACATATGTATGCGAACACAATAAAAGACAAACAGTTAAATCATAATTCATAATTATGACAAAATAAATCAATATTCAATTGCCAAAATGCTCGCCTAAACTACATGCACATGAAGGGCATGACACAAACATCAACATTTTAACCAAAAACCTACATTTTTACCATTGTTCAAGAGAGTTTCGGCCATCATAAAATATTCATACTCTATGTTATAAAATATAACCTGGAATAATGCCGCAAACTCAGAAAACTATTCTATGCCTCACTCGATCTGTTTGTCAATGGAAATAATGTCCCATAAATTCTTGCTTTCTACGCACGACAGTGCTTGAAATAGTTTAGCATTACATCTTCAGAAAAAAAAATCGGCTCGCTTGCTCGGACTAATTGTCACAATCTCAGAAATAATAAAGTTCTATTTATTTGTTGGTGCCAGAAAGTAGTATACATGTATAACCGACATGACAATTCTAATTTATTATTTAATTAATTTAATTTTTTGTTTGCAAAAATCTGTCTTTTTCTGAGTTCAAAAATTTGGGCAACACCCAAAATTAATTCCAGTGTCAAAGCCCCCTCCCCTCCTCTGGGCTCTTAACATATTATATACAACTTTGACGTTGATTCTAAACATAAGCTTATACATGTGTATAGCACTCACAGCTATTGATTACTACATTTAATACAAATTGCTTTATATCAAATGTAGTTATACATCACCTCAATCTTTGTAGAAAGAGGCAAAGCCATTTTGGAAGTTGGGTTGCTTGACAACCATTTATGTCTAGACGTGACCGTAGCTTTGGTTGTGTAATCCTGGGTCTGCTGTCGCATCACACGCCTCTCAAGCCTCTCAAAGTGATTGATTGTCTGCACCCTTGTGTATCTCTAATACAGCCTAAGCCACTTTCACGTTATCTGTTTAACAGTACGTCTCTGCCAATTATTGGTCTCCGTTTCATTTTCTTCAACCTTAACGTAAAACGAATCGTCAGGTATAGAAAGAATTGTATAAACGTCTTGACAGAAATTCAATTCTTAAAATGTTATGGCGTCTGGGCAGACTTTCTACTTCTAATGAAACTTCTACCACAGACAAGAAAAGAAACAAGTATAAGTTTTACATGAACCTTTCGCAAGCAATGTATTGTAGAAAGAATGATCAGTTAGATTGAGAGATTACAGCTTACTGTAAAAGTACTTCTTTTAGCGGTATCTTTATTTCGGCTTCTTCGTTAAAGTGCTAAGAGTAAACGTACATAGGTACAAATGTTCAGAAGAAAATCTGCGTATGTAGAAACGGTGCGCTGATATATTATTCTTTTAATAGAAAGGACGTTCCCTTGAATTATTAGTGCGCTAATATAAACACTTTTTCAGTACATTGCTAGTTATGTTTATTTTGAAAAAACATCCATACTTAACAACCTACCTGGAATTTAATCGAAGATGTATGGTATGTCTGACATGAAGCAAGCCAACCAAGATCACCTATCTTATCATAGGTCGTAGACGATATCTGTGACACGCTCATATACTCCAGATTACGGGGACATAGGATCAGGACACGCCCTTATAAATAGTTGGAACATTTGGAATGAATAAAAATATCATAATCTTCTTGCTGGAATGAAGTCAAAGGAACGGATGGAATGTTTACCATTTATTACGCATCGAAATTGAAAGTAATAATGTTGGGAAAATACCACTTCAGGCGTTCAAGAGTAGGGATGAAGTCTTGATGCTAATTGACGTACCGATCTATTTCACTTAACGATAATTACACATGTCCTTTAAATGGTACACAGACGCAATACACTAGTAACCTTCCGTAGAATTATACCTCTTCTGTAGTGTGCACTGTGATTAGCATTTATGTAAAAAAAAAATTCAAAAGACTTATCATAAGTTGCAATGCATAGCATATCCTATGTAGATGAAGTGTTCCACTTAGAGAACCACAAGATGGAACGCTTGCTTCAAAACCTGTAAATCCAAGAACAAAATTTACTTATATTTGAAAGGTTTCAAATAACGTTTTTGACATGACGAACTTAATTAATCACCAAGCAGCATTAGAGAGTAGCTATATTATTGTGTAATGTATATACTTTGTAAGATAATTACTGGTAAGAATCGTTTTATGTTCGTTTCATATATAAAAATACAAACAAATTGCTTTTTATAAATAATAGATAAGTGGCCAAATGCACATGTTTTAATTATGCAGTTGGTGTTGAGAAATGAAATGTGGGGATTTTAAAATGTCTGGGCTATAATAAAAGAGTTTAGAAGTAAGGAGAGGAGCCACGATCCAACAACACAGCCCTGTCTCGGCAATAAAGATGAGACACTCCACTGTCCAAGGATGGGAAATTAATACTTGAAGCGCACTGGATAGCACTCTTTAACGATCAAAACTGTTCCTGGTAAAACAAATCCCAAATTGCTCTTTAAACCACGGACAGATATGCAATATGCACGTTACACGAATATTTCAGTATGGCATACTATGATTTAATCTTTTAGGAGTTTGGTTTGGAGATTTTCTAAAAATAAATAACATATTACTATGAAAGATTTGATATAAATTCCATTTTTTTTAAAAAAAACATTAGTATTTACTTTGTCGATCTTATTCTTTTAAATAAAAGTGAGCCCGAGATAAGTAAGAGAACTTGATTGCTTTGTACCACAACGTGATCATATGAGGCGACTAACTTTAGTTCCTGTTCAGAATCTGGGTCGTCTTTACATATTTTGTCCTTCCTCTAATATGTAACAATATTCTTTCTGTGTTCTTATGCTTTCTTTACACTTTTGCGATCCATTTTTATGATGCCTAGCCTTATTCTAGTCGTCATATAATCTATATGACCTCAACGTTCCAACGATGTTAAAATCTCAGGCAAATGATCAACACTTGCGATTTCAAGAGAAACAACTTTCAGGTGATTTAATTATCCGCTCAATAATGTTGCATGTCCAATGGAAACAGGCATCGTATGGAAATCATCCCGGTGGTACACGTTATTGAGAAAAACAGATGTAATCGTAATGTACACCGATGGAGGGAAAGCATCACAGAAGACCCTTTGTATAGTGGTTTGTGGAGTAACACGCTGTAGATATATTGTAACAAAACCAAACAATGCATACATACATGTCAAAACATAAGATAAACTTCCATACCCTAACCTTCAGTATTTTTTAAACTTGTGTTGTTGTACTTACTGCTTTCGATGAGTGAAACAGTCTGCTATTCTGCTACATATATCTATAGCCACACATATTGATGTGAAAAGATATTTTGCACAAAATAGTTTGGGTTTGTTTTTCAAGTCATCAGGTACATATTAGAATATTGAAGAAGAATCTCATCTATGATGGAGTTTTAATGAAACAAACAGAGCACTAATTGACAGAGAGTATACATGTGTTTCACAATATAATGATGTAGTTATTTCATCTCAATTTTGCGGTTATAGCATTGAGTTCAGAACGATGTGTTACAATAGCAACGACGCTATATTACAAACGTTACACAGTTATGTTAAGGTCATAGGAGTGTATTGATAAACGGAAATAGGAAGTACATTCCTAGTTGAAAATCGAATGTAGGGAGACAGTATCACAAATTACACATATTCTAATGTTTAATATTAAACTGATGAATATTATATGTTTATTATTGACAGAACAGTGTGTTCTCTCAATATTAAAATATTTCAAAGCAATCCAGGCATTAATTCAGGTTTTTTTTTATCAATGAGTCACATCTGTCTATTTTTCTGTACTTCAGGAAACCGACTACCTATTTCACTACTGTGAAGTTTTTCAAGAACGATAACTCTTGCATGCAATTACTATATGTATATGATTTTATTATAAAATGTCAATTTTTAATCGTTTATAGAGAATTAATTTTACACAATTTCAGCATTTATTAAATTGATATACATTAATGCGATACTTATCTATGTCAGTATCATTTTTATTGACATTATTTTGCAAAAAAATCACTCCTTTTTACATAAATTTCCATTTAAAATCCTTAAAAATCTGACAACCTATATTTTTTTCGAAGCAATATACATGTAACTACAAAATTTGAAGAAATTCTACTGAGAAACGGTGACACAATCATATTACCTTAATTGAGTTCAAAACCCTATAATCATATGTACTTGCTTACATCTTTAAACTAAATTTGCTTGAGACCAGAGAGACGGAACATAATTATAGTAAATACAAAATTAAAAAAAAAAAAAAAACGTAAATGTTGAATAATACATTGAACTGTTTTGACATGATACATTGAAATGTTTTGACATGATTGCTCAAATATCCAAATGAGCGACAAAGGCCCTCTGGGTTTCTTATTTTATGTAGGGTATCCACGATTTTATCTGAACAACTTTAAAACACATAAGAAAATACCTTTGGATATTTCATATGAAACTGATTGCTCGTTTTGACACTACTGTCTGTTGTATAGATACAGAATTCTTATTAGTTTACCCGTTTGTATATTGCAGGTATTTGCTATTGTTAGCCTTCCTTGTCCTGGCGCACAAAGGGTCCCTAGGATTTCCGTACTTCAAGGAACGCATTCCGAACGGCGGGCAAGTCCCTAGTCCATGTAATCCAATGGAAATTTGGAAGGGTGTAGGACACAAAAGTTCGGATGGCGGTGACGACCGGAACCCATTTGGGTTGGACTTCCTGAGACACGGAAAGGTAAGTTTGTCATTGTGAACCATGCTGCTCAGGAAAGTGACAACAGTGATATCTGTTGAAATCAAGGTGTTCCATTTTGAAAAGAGCATTTACAAAACTGAATTTCAGAAAGCAATTTTGATATCACTTATTGATCATAGGTCAAAACCGTTATATTATTGAATATAAACCAATGCGAACAATACATTTGGTGTTTGCATGGCATTTTCATCATGGTTCTAGTAGTGTTGTTTCTCTGAATAGACCTGCTTCAGTGTCAACCTTGTACACCCTCATCGGACAGAATACAGTTTTCGTGTTCACCTTGACATTTTGCTTAAATTTGTTCCGTATGGAATCCTTCCCTACCACCATGCCTTACACAGTCTATTTCAATGATAGTACGGAAGCAAATTCGATAAGAAAACCCACGTCAGGGGAATAACAATGGAGCCAAGCCTCCCCACATTTTAGTTCCCGTACGACTAGTACTTGTAGGAATTTAATCAGTAACAAAAGAATGTGTACTATGAATACCGAAACCCACATTGTTTGTGACCGTCAGCTTAACATGTCTTTTATTCTCGAAATTCGATCGAAGTTTCATTTCCTGAAGTCAACAACACATACCACACCGCAAACGTTTTTAATCATCTTATGATTATTGATAATGATATCTGAACTTGTGGAACAAGGTCAGTTTTGGGACTGACGCTTATCTAATTATTGACTATTTCATAGAGGGGTTTATTTAAAATTTCATTGGATGGAAGGTGAAGGGGAAGAAATAGGAAAAACGACAAGTGTAGAAGGAAGGTTTTGAAAGGGAACAATTATGGAGAGAACTCGAAGTCTTGACTGCCTAAGGGACGGAACACACACATACATCCATGTTGAATTCCAATATGGCATAACACTTATATGCAAATGCTGACAAGCAGTTGTAATGTGGTACCTCTTTAAGGCCCTGTCTCGGCGAACAGAGCAAAACCAATGACAAAACCGGGCAAATTTAAGATCGCATGTAAGTCATGTAAGACCACACACTCACGCGTGATGTTATAAACAGCCTGTGACATTACGTCAAGCAAACCACGTGTAATTAGAGGTTATGTAATCAAATGTCAAACTGGTTTGTAAGGTTTGCTCTGGAAGGCATCTTACTGTCACTTCATCGTAGCATGTGTCGTGTCAAGCTCTCTCATTTTCCCATCTTCCATACTGAAGCATAGAAATTATTAACTTCGTGTCAAATTTGATGTATGAGTTTTGATTGATTTTTGTTTTAAAGTTGTTAATTCTGAATAATAATGTTTAGATGTCAAAGGCTTCACAAAATGCAACCTGACAATACAAATTAGTGTTCATGGAGTCTCTGTATCACCTCACCATATCCCAATAATAGATATACAGTATATCAAGCATCAAAACGCAAATTAAACATTTTCAGTTCAAAAATGTATGTTACATCAAATGAAATATTGTTCTTCAAGGCATTATAATTATTATACCACTCTGATTTCGTCATTTTCATTGATGGTTTACATAAAGATCAGTTAGATCAATTTAATCATATATATATTTTTATTTTTTTTTAAATATTTGAGTCATTTTCTTTCAATTAACGAAGATAAAACATCAAATCATAAAAAAAAGTATAAAATATAATATACATACAAACCTATGAATAAAGAAATTGAGTATATCTATATAATGAAGAATCATCTAAGTACAAATGTATTTATAGAGCATCAAAATATAAAAAAATGAATCTGTAAAATGAAACAGCGAGTATCAAAGTATAGAACAGATTCATCTATGTACGTTCTGTGTATCTGTGTATCTTCTCGTCATGTTAAGTTCCAACCTTCATTGTTCTTGACATGACACATATGGTGAATGGTCATATCAGCTGGCCTACAACACACTCTATGTCACACCAACCCTTTTGAATGTCATCAAACGAAGACTAAGGCGTTAGGTCTTACAGAATTAAGATAGATATATTGCATCTTCCATTGGATAACTCAATGATTCTATATTAAAACTTGAAGGCATCAGAAATCAGAAACGTCAGCGGAATCTGATTAATATCAGCCAGGAACAATAAAGACAACCTAGGCAATCTGTAATTGAAAAATCACACCAGTGCTTAGCAAGTGGAGATCCAGCTGTCTGGGTGATTGGTAACAAATTACCGGTGACGACCTGGTAGATTAGCTCTAGAGATGTTGTGACAGGCATCGACCCACCGGCTTAGCGGCCTTAACATGTTCCAATATCATTAAGTGTTTATGTATATTGTATGATTTTTAAGAAATCCGAAGTCGGTATAAAACAGTATCCTAATTGAGACTGAAGAAAGGCAGAGGCCTGTTATTTTTCAAAAAAAGTGCAAAATCCTATGGAAATTGTTTAAGTCGGTATTTAATCCACTTCAGAAGTAAAACCGATATTGAAGGGTGAAGATTTTGAGTTTTCTTCAGTTTCATCCAACCGACCCCATTATATAAAAGAGTTTATCTAACCGAGGATCAAGACACAATTGAAATGTCAAACTTACATTTCATTTTAAAAAGATTACACCTTGTTCAATGTCGATTGAGGATTATACTTAATTTCAATACAAGTTTTGAATTGATTATTTCATTATTCAAATGCAATTAGACTAAATTCAGCTCAATTAAGATTAACTCAAATGAAATTAGATATATGATGTGTAGAGGCCATTTTATTGATATCTTACATTGATTCATCTGCGTGGATTATGTGTGGATATCAAATTACTCACATTTACAGAGACGCTGTGGTTGAGGAATTATGTCGTCACGATATCGCAAATAGTTTTAGACATGTGTCTAAAGTATGTTATTGTTCGTTTTGCGAATTGCAATGATTCCGAATTCGCAAAACTGAAAGTCATTTGAAACATTTAAAACCAAATGTATCTTCACAGTTATTAAATAATACATAAATTGAAAATGTAATCAGAAATCGAATGGCGCCACATCTGATGCAGGATACAATCAATTGTTTCGATTCTTGATATTTTTTCCCTCAACCTTGGGATTGTTATCGAAGTGGTCCTTAGTAGTTGGTTCAGTCTCCGTTTTGAAGGATGTATGGTGATTTCCCTTCTTGTTTGGAGTGTTTTTGGTTCCTGTTGTGGTCTTTCCTCACAAACCTGTACACTTTGTATCTCCTTTGTTTACATGACGATGCTTTCTATTTGACCTGCAATTGCAAATTTAATTATTTATTAGTTTCGGTAAATGACGATGGTAACATGCATGGCTTGATAAAATTCTATTCGCTGCCTGCAAAGAAAAACAACAAAAATCTTTGTATTCAATTTGATGTAATTTATATGCTGAATGATATGGGGAATGAACTTCAAGCTGTGAGAAGAGCTGGAAAATGTAGATTTCTGTAGCGGTTTTCTCTTTACACAAATAATTTAGATACTAGTTGAAGGTTGATTTAACAGTTGTTAACACGGGACTAATTCATAAGCATAGTTACACTTTCATGTGGCAGCGGGTTTGGTAATTAAGGTTGTTTTTCATGCCGGGAACTGGACGTATACTAATCTGAAACAGGTTGCGGAACGGCACTAAATATCCGTTCGGAATTGTTTGGGCAGTTACCCGGGACATATCTACATTTATTGCCGTAATATATGTCAGCTCACGTTATGATAACGCTGATCTGCTTAATTTATCCTGGTGGCAAAAAGTTTTATTTATGTACAAAGGTAACTTTTTATTTCGTTACTTTATGTCCGTCGCGTCAGTAAGCATATATCGGACATATTTTTATCTATGTCTCCTTGCTGATGATGAAGTACGTGTCATTGACAGAATGCGGATTTTTGCACCCGTAGTTTTCATATTTAAGCGAATGATGTGGGTAGGTTCCTCCAAAAGATTATTGGAAAAAAAATCAACTTATGTGCCTGCATTATGGTTGAATACCAAATAAGGTGAAATGATTTGGGAAAAATAATAATTACGAAGGTCGAAATCTAAATAGTTTGTTTAAATTGATTTCCCCCTCAGAACATTTATCATTCAAAACATTTACAATATGCAGTGAGTACACTTATTGCATAACACATTAGCCATGTGATAAGAAGTTGTCTATGCTCAACGTTTTGTCCTGTTTGAAGTTACTGTATTAACGGGCAAATGACATTAATTATCTATCGATCTCATATATTATTTAGTGAAACGCAATTTCTCATTTACTGGCGTTTTACTGATTGATTGATTGATTGATTGATTAATTGATTATATATGTTCAACTCATTTTCACAATTATTATGTACATGTAACTTGTACTACGCTCGCCAAGTCATCGCAAAAAATACCACAAAAAACAACACATACAAGTATTTGAAAATTTGAAACAAATAAATGTTTGGGGGAACAGTTTTTTAAGAAATATGTTAAATTCAATCTGAAATTTACTTGAAATTTCCTGAAATATTTAAGCAACAACAGCAAAGATATGTTTTACTTTTGGAAGTGTTTTTGGACAATATTCAATATAATTACTTGTAAACATATAGGGACTAAACTATAGTTGTGAGTCGTGGCTTTCAATATTAATGCGCAGTTTATTGATCTACTTCAGTTTCATTGCCGTTTATACAACATAAGTATTGGATCGGAACTCGAAACGAATCAAGGACAACATCAACCAAGGGACTTAAAAACAATACGTCAAGCATGCATAATCCATATCAGATAACAGTCAGCACCAATACCGTGAAAAATTTAAATACATTGCGAGTATGTACCTTTTCGACTGAGCTTCCAAATACAAATAAGATCACGCCGATTTTAATTCGTAGCAAGAAATAAGTGCAGATCGAGTTATCTTTTGTTTAAATGGATAAATCTACAATCGTGATATTTGAAAAATATTTCTACTTTTGATCGGCTCTTATCGCTTATAACCGTAATTGTACATACATTTTAAACATTTTTAACCTTTTTTATACATGTATATACGATATA